TCCTGTGTAGTCACTGGTGGGAGGCAAGGGTGCAAAGTTTCCATATGTTTAGAGACAGATACCTCCTTCTCAGAAAGAGAACAAAGGAGAGAGAACAAGTTGTCAGGGAGTAATGGTTGTTTGAGCAAAAACAGAAGAAACACTTTACCCAGATATAACAATTTTAAGCCTGTCTGCACAAGTATTTCTGTTTTTCAGGTGCCCTAAAATATGTCATCCATTAAAGAGCGACGACCAGAAAACAACGACATTTTTCTTGTCAGCTCCCTTGTATACAAGCTATCTCTAATAAACTCCACCTGTATTCTTTCTCTCGAGTTCAGTGTTCATTTCTATGCCATTGAGACTCAAGAATCTGGTTTTGGGGGTCCCATAATATACCACTCAATACCAATTACAAGCAGAATTATTAATTACAGACCCCAAAAGAATAATCATCAATTATAGGCTCCCAAAGGGAAAAGATGTACCTTGCATTTCCTACAAGAAATTGACCACCCCTGTAACTCAGCCAATGAGAAATCGTCATCGCCCTGAACTCTTGCTCTTCTCCAATGGTCTTTCATTCAAAATAATCCCTCCTAATTTTCTCCCTCTTCTTCATAAAATAACATTCCTCTCCTTTGTTTATTGGATTTGTCTATGGTTTTGTCATAGGTCGCGTGTCCCAAATTGCAATTCTCTGTTATTCCTAAATAAACCCATTTTTGCTGGTAAAATAACTGTTTTATTTTTAAGGTTTGGGTATAATAATTTTTCAAAGGAACATCACAAATGTTGGTGAGAATGTAGAAAAATCTGAACCCTTGTATGGAGCTGATGGGAATATGAAAGGGTGGAGTCCCTGTAGGAAAGTTTGCCAGTTCCTTAAAAAGCTACACAGAATTACCCTAAGACCCAACAATTTCACTCCTAGGTGTATATCTAAAAGAACTGAAAACAGGGATTTAGACACTCGTACAGCAATATTTTCATCAGTATGATTCACAATAGTCAAACGACCCAAGTATCCAACAGATGAATGAATAAACAAAATGTGTTTTTTTGTGCCATGGCATATGATTCAGCCATTAAAAGTAATGAAGTTCTGTCTGGAGCTGAGACCGTGCCGAGAGAGTGTCAGGAACCCACACCTGTCATGCCCGCTTTGGCCTCAGCTAGCCTCTTACTTGATGACTCAACCTGTGACCCATTTCTGTCTCAAGGACAGCCTCGGGGCCTGCTAGCCTCCATGGATCACAGTTCAGCAAGCTCCACATACTTTCCATGCAAGCAGCATCCTTGGAATGCCGCTTCTCATCACAGCAGTGAGGGGCAGGGATCCCTTTTTAAAAAGAAAGGAATGCAGTTCCAATATGTGCTATAATATGGATGAACCTTGAAGAGGAGATAGGGAAGCTGAGGGGACTCCATTTTTAGAAGGGCTCTATCTCTGCTGTTTTTCTGTTAGGCTCCATTTCCTCATGTTCTGTATTTTGCATCTGCGTAACCCAAAGAAGCTATGTTCCCACTCCAAGGGGGAAGCACAACAGTTAGTCATTCTCTGAGTTTCTCCCAGGCCCCCAAACACCTGATAACATCTAAGAAGAACCAGGTCCCAAACATGTGCCAGGACATTAGATTCAAACAAACCTCAGCCAACGCTAGCATCAATATCCTCTACATTTGATGATCTATAAAATAACACTTATGATTCACCTGTCACTCACCTTTGATCAGACCTGAAGGAACACATACTCTGGACCCCTTGCCCCTAACTCCAAGCAACAATGGAGATTTGTTCTCCTTCCCTTCCCTAGTCTCCCAGACATTCTGTCTGCCATAATTGATCACTATTCAGTAACCTCTGCTTTTACTTCCTCCAGCTCGAGTTTGATTTCTGTCCTGTGCAAAGCCAAGGACCCTCTTGGCTGGTCCTGTGGGACCTGCCTCTGGGTCCTTGGATCCAACTTTCCTGCATCAAAAACACTATGGTAAGTGAAAATAAACCAGACACAAAGGGCCACATATTGTATGATTCCATTTGCACAAAATATCTAGAATAGGCAAATTCATGGAGGCAGAAAGTAAATAGGTTATCAGAACTGGGGGGGGGTAGGGAGTGATTGCTTAATGCTTACTGAGTTTCTCTTTGGGGTGATTAAAAATTGGGGGATATATATATAATGGTGTTGTTTGCACAACACTGTGAATATAATTAACACCACTGAGCTGTGTGCTTACAATGGTTAAAATGGCAAATCTTATATACATTTTACTACAATTAAAAAAAAACATATGTGGGGCACCTGGGTGGCTCAGTCGTTAAGCTTCTGCCTTCGGCTCAGGTCATGGATTTACGTTCCTGGGATCGAGCCCCACATCCGGCTCCCTGCTCAGCGGGAAGCCTGCTTCTCCCTCTCCCACTCCCCCTACTTGTGTTCCTTCTCTCGCTGTGTCTCTCTCTGTCAAATAAATAAATAAAATCTTAAAAAACAAAACAAAACAAAACATATGTTATGAGAAAGAATTCATTTCCCAAAGGAAAGGGGATGCTGTTAGCAGAGTGAAAGAAAAGTCATTAAGTAAAACCCAAAGTAACTACTCCTCTAGGAGATAGTTCAAACTGCTTATATTAGCTTTAATGTAGCCCTCAATAGTCATTTTCACCAGAAACACGAGTATAGGGAGTTAGGGAGAAGACGATGTCTGTAACTGGCTTAATTGCCTCTTTGCCTAGAATGACTAATTCAGTTCTTGCATTTCTTCATAGCAAGGGGGGAAAGGAAAATGGAAATCTCAGAAACCCCTCGAGGTGATGTTTATTGTTGCTGCCAAGTATATTTATTTTGTTTTAATAGCACCACCTTCTTATTAAACTCAGAATACCCATATGGTCATATCTTATTTGCTTGTGGTAAATGCTCAGCTGCCCATACCAGATTCACAGGAAATTCTGTTATTTTCTCTTGGCAGATGGGCTCCTACTGAACTGTCCTAGAATCAACCACGGGGGCTCACACTGTTCCAAACCCAAGGGAAGGCCAGCTTCTATTCTCAAGGGGGTAACTAGCTCAGTCCACATGTGTGATTGCTCCTCACTACCACAAGATGGTACTGTCAGATCACACGGAAGCATAATGAACGCGGAGCTCCAATCCTCCGTGTACCTGCTGTTTTTCAGAGGCGAGGGTGAGTCTTGGTCTCCCTTAGGGCTCAATTCTTTCAGTTCCCATACCAAGAACTAAGATGCCCCCAAGACTGGTTCTGGCATTTGCTATTCCACAGTTCCCTGGTCTTCCCATGGGATCTACATCACCCAGAGGTCTTTTTTTTTTTTTAAGATTTTATTTATTTATTTGAGAGACAGAGAATGAGAGAGCACATGAGAGGGGGGAGGGTCAGAGGGAGAAGCAGGCTCCCTGCAGAGCAGGGAGCCCGACGCGGGACTCGATCCCGGGACTCCAGGATCATGACCCGAGCCGAAGGCAGTCGCCCAACCAACTGAGCCACCCAGGCGCCCCTCACCCAGAGGTCTTAGAAGTCCTCACAGCATAAGAGACCTGACAATAGCTTACTTGTGCTCCTCCTAAGGAAGCTTACCTTCAGTTATGCCAGGGGGCCTGCACCTTCCTTTTAGGATGACTGGTTTCTTTCTGTGACACAGAGATGATTTGAGGACATCCCTTCAGTGAGTCAACAGAAAGGGGGATAAGACAAAACAAATTTTACCTTTGGGGACATTCTAGTCCATTAGAAAATGCCTTGAGCATGCCTCTAGGATCTCCTGGGCTCACAAGACAAGGCAGCCCTGTTCCCTGCCAGCGTGAGGGCATCTCAGAGAGGCCATGTTCTCATTGCTGAATACATCAACAGCAGAAAACATAGACAGCAACCCAGCTGGTCTACAAACAGCAGCAGTTATTTTCATCAGGAACATTATGAACGCAGGGGAAACCTTACTTCTGCTTTATATGGTCATCTGAAGACACCAGACATCAAAGCACAGAATGTGGGGAGGGTCCTTAAGAAGGTCACAAAAGTAGGTGGGCTATCAAATGAGGTAGCATAAACCAGAAAGTGCTGGGAAAAAGAAAAAAGATGATTAGCCCATACTGCTCACCAGCAGCCCCCACCCCCCCCCCCCACACACACACAGTACCTCTCATGTACCTCTCTGCCTTCTAGGGGGTATTTTTGGCCTAGAACCTTCTCCCCCTCTCCTCCTCCTCCTCCTTTTTCTTCTTTGAATAAGCTTTTTCTTTTCAGAAAATTGTAGACTCACATGCAATTTAAGAAACAACCTAGAGGGGCATGTGGGTGGCTCAGCTAACCCTTGGTCTCAGCTCTGGACTTGATCTCAGGGTCGTGGAGCCTACAAAAGAGAAAGAAAAGGAAAGGAAAGGAGAGGAGAAAAAGAAAAGAAAAAAGAAAAGAGAGAAAGAAAAAAGGAGGGAGGAAAGGAAGGGAGAGAGAAAGAGAGAAAGAAAAGAAAAGAAAAAGAACAGAGACATCCCCTGTGCCCTTTATTCAGAATCCTGCAATGAGAACATCCAGCCAAACTACAGTGCAATATCACAACCCGGATACTGACATTGATACAGTCCCATAAAGAACATTTCCAACACCACAAGGGTCCCTGTTGCCCCAGCTACCCCCTTCCTAAACCCTGGCAACCACTAATCTGTTCTCCATTTCTATAATTTGTCATTTCAAGAATGTCACATAAGTCATACAGCATGGAACCTCTTGAGATTGGCTTTTTTCACTCGGCATAATTTTCTGGAGAGTCTCACAGGCTGTTGGGTTTTCGATCTTTTTTCTTGCTAAGTATTACGCCATGGACCTGCATTTTTTTTTAACTTGGATACCTAACCAGGGTTGGAGTAGGGAAGAAGCACAGAACAGGAGGGTTCCCCGCCACATGCAACCCAGGTCCAGGGCAGGGCCAGCGCCAGAGGCGTGGGGCGGGGCACAGGTCAGGACCGCCCGGGTGGGGGCGGGGCGGGGCGGGGCGCCGGGAGAGGGCCGGGAAGAGGGAGCGGCTGGGCTCTGGGGACCTGCGGGGGCCGTGCGGAGACGGCGCCAGTGCGCGCGGCCTTGCCGCACAGAGCGCAGTCGCAGCTCTCCGGCCGGCGGACGAATGAGAGTGCGGGGCCCCGGGGGGCCGGAACCTGGCGCGGACGCCGGGAACTTTGCTCCCGAAGGCGGAGGGCTGAGTCCTGTCGCTGCTTCTCCGGGGCCCGGGCTGCCCGCAGGGTGAGTGCCTTCCCTCGCCGGGGTGCGGGGGCACTTTCCGGGGCGCCGCTGTCCGCACCGCGGGCCATTCACCGTTTCGGCTCTGGTTTGTACTTACCTCTTACCGCGTGCTAGGTCCGGTTATAAGTGCTTAGGGGAATCGTCTCCTTTAATGGGCCCTCTGCCTTAGGAGGTCCGTGGTGTGATTACCCTCGTGTTAAAAATGAAACAGGGCAGCCCAGGGTCAGTTTGGACAGGGGCTGCCATCATTTAGGCCAGCGGGACACCGGCCAGGGCTGTGCTGGCCGCAGGGAGCCGCCTGTTTTGGCTCGTGGCAGTCTGTAGCAGATCCTAGAAAAATAATCTTAAACCTTTTGTCTTAACGAGAATATTAGCTAAAGAAGCACATGAAAAGAAATATGTATTAAACGAGACGTCGGCTAGCAGTGCTATTTATAGTTGGGGGGGAAACAGAAATACCTTAGGTGCCCAGTAAGAGAAATGGTCACAAATGGGCATGCATACATAGTGAGATGTTATTTAGCTCTTGGAATAACTGGCTCCAGAGCCTGTCTACATGGAAAGAGGTATTGGAAATGTTAACCTTAAAAATAAAAGTGACAGTTATTTAACTAGCAAAAAAAGGGGGGGCGGTTTTTTGGGGACTTCCAATCTGGGACAGGCAAGCTTAGGTAAAGCCATAGGTAAGTGCCCAGAAGAAAGGGGAGGAACGCTGGGAGAGGGGAGGTTGGGAAGGCTGTTATAACCAAAAAGTCCATTGGAGTAAAAAAGCCAGAGTTCCAAGTATACTGGCTTTTCATTGGCTGAGTGTGACCGCCTCCCATTGGCTGGGCTGTTGCTGGGGCAGGAGGAAACCTTTCTACCTCCTGCTCAGACCGGAGGTGCAAAGTGCATCTGTCACTTCCTCTGGGGGCTGCAGTTGACACCCCCCCCATAAGCGTGCAAGAGCTACTCCTGCTGGCCTCCGACTCCACTCCAAATGACCTTTCCTTTTATTAATTTTCGCAGAAATCGAATGACAACATTATAAAATAGTTTCTGGGTGCTGATTAAGATGAAATAATATGCATAAAAATATCAGAGCCCGATTGGTGTGACATACATAATTTAACAACCTGTTGACCTAAAAAAAAAAAACAAAAACAGTTATTTTACCAGCAAAATGAGTGTATTCGGGAATAACAGAGGAATTGCAATTTGGGACCTGCAGGCTATGGCAAACCATAGGTCAGTCTGGAGAACAAAGGAGAGGAACAGAGGAACATTATAAAAAAAAAAAAAAAAAAAAGGAGGAAGTTGGGAAGGGCTGCTTTGAACAAAGGTCTGTTGAGCCTGTTGGAGGAAAGCAAGAGTTCAGGGTGGTGATGGTTTCTGGTGGGCTGAGTTGTGATAGTTTCTCACTGACTGGACTGTTGCTGGGCAAGGAGGAAAAAAAAAAAAATCTTTCTACTGCCTGCTGGGGTTGTAAAATGACCTGTTCAGGAATGTGAGGTAAGCTGTGAGGGAAAGTGTGTGGGTGAGAGGTCCCTCTACAGGGTGTCCTGACTCCACTTCAAATGAGATTTCCCTTTATCAACTTGCACACACCACGTGGTTCCTTTTTCTTATTGAGCTAGGCAAGTGCCTCCTTCCTAACAAAGGAAACTTGTCTGTGCAGCAGGGTGTTAAGGAAGGGGGGCAGGGGGGGCGGGGACAGCTAGTAAAGAGCTTGGCTTGAGTCTTTCCTCTGATTTTGGACAAGTTCATTTCTTGGGCCTGTGTCTTACTCTGTAAAAATGGGAGAATGGACGAGATGTGGAGTCACAAACTCAAATGCTTCAGGTGGCCAGGTGTGTGATGTAAATCCGTAAACTGGGCCAAGCCGAACAGCAGGGAACGGTACATGCTTTGTCGTGGGCATTAAAATTAAAGCATTTTATCCAAACCAAAATGGAATCTCAGGGTAAGGTGTTCCCTGAGCCTGCAGTGACACTGATAACCTCTTAAAAGGTAATCAGATCCTATCATTCTCCTGCTTAAGATGCTCCAATGGCTCTCTGTTAGGCTTAGAATAAGATCCTTGCCCTTGTCCTACAGACCCCACCTCACCTCTATGACCACATCTCCCACCATCCAACTCTTTTTTTTTTTTTTAAACTACAGGCCAAACAGGCTTTCTTTTTTTTTTTTTTTTGGCTTGTTTCTTTTTTTTTTTATTCTTATGTTAATCCCCATACATTACATCATTAGTTTTAGATGTAGTGTTCCATGATTCATTGTTTGTGCATAACACCCAGTGCTCCATGCAGAACGTGCCCTCCTCAATACCCATCACCAGGCTAACCCATCCTCCCACCCCCCTCCCCTTTAGAACCCTGTTTGTTTTTCAGAGTCCATCGTCTCTCATGGTTCGTCTGCCCCTCCGATTTCCCCCGCTTCATTCTTCCCCTCCCACTACCTTCTTCTTCTTTTTTTTTCTTAACATATATTGCATTATTTGTTTCAGAGGTACAGATCTGAGATTCAACAGTCTTGCACAATTCACAGCGCTTACCAGAGCACATACCCTCCCCAGTGTCTATCACCCAGTCACCCCATCCCTCCCACCCCACCCTCAAACAGGCTTTCTTGAACACACTCCAGGCCAGTTCCTACCTCAGGCCTCCTACTTGCCATTGCCTCTGCCTGAACCTCTGATCTTTGCATGACTGAGTCCATATCATTCACATCCCTGTTCCCGAGATACTTTCCTGGACTATCCTATCTAAAATAGCAGATGTACCCCTGGCCATTTTAGTCACAAAGGTACTTTATTTTCTTATCACTATCACTATTACTTAGCATTATTGTTAGTACTTATCACTATCTAGAATGTTACGGTTGCCTTCTTTGCCTGCTGGTTTTGTCTACCCAGCCCCCGGCCGAGAGTATAAAGTTCCATTCTAGCCTGTCTTGTTCACCACTGTGGCCTCCCCACCTGGCACAGTACCTGGCCAGAGGGTGAGTCCTCCTACAAGCCGTGACCCAGCTGAATGAAGGCATACATTGGAATTGTGTCCCATTCACAGCGGTTCATGGAGAGTCAACTCCAAACGGCTTAACCACAGTTCAGAGGTTGCTCTCCCATATAAAGAAGTCTGAAGGTTGGCAATTCAGAACCATCTCACAGCTCCAAGGAAGCATCAGGAATCCAGGTTCCTTTTGTATTTGTGCTCTACCATCCTTAGTCCAGAGCTTCTACCCCCGTGATAACAAGATGACTGACCGAGCCCTAGCTACCGTTCCACAGTGCAGCTCAGAGGAAGGCCAGCGGCAGGGGCTGAAATGGTACCTCCACCCTCCTCACAACCCCCCCGCAGGTCAGCCCTTAAGGATATGTCCTAGGAGCCGCATGTAATGACTTCTGCTTCACCTCTTTGATCACCCCTGAGTGGAAGACTGGGAAATGTAGGGATTAGCTGCACACACTGACACCTGAATAAATTCAGGGACTGTTCGTAAAAAACAAGAGGGAATGTTGGGTAGCCAAAGAGGCAGATTCCTAACTGTTCAGTCAGTAGTCAACTTAAGCAAATGGGCAGGATTTAAACTCCTATTTGAGGTATGATGGTGTTTGGAGTTCCAACTGTCTGTCTGACGAGAGCTGTTTGCGCCCTCTCCAGTTTAAGTGTCCTGCCTGCCCTCAACTCACCTCCAGCCACAATTATGTAAACCTCTTTTTCTTTCTGTCCCTGGGACACCCAGCCTGGGCCAGAGCCCATTCCCCTGCAGCCCACCCTCGCTTCTTGGCAGTATTCTGCATACCTTAGCCCTTTACCTGGGGCTCCCGGGCAGCTGGAGGTATGGAGGGCCCAGGAAGAAGCTAATTCAGGCTCTGCTCCAGATTCCAGTCATGGCCACGGATAAGCCTGATCTCTGTCTCTGTTCTTCTTGTTATCCAATAAAGATGCACTGATAGGTGTTAAAGTTGTCATTTGGATACAAAATGCATCATACAGCATCTCCACACTGACCCTGAGTCACGGGCTCTGGGCTGTTTTTTTTCCGGCAGAGGGAGCAGGTTTGTTAGAGGTATTTTTTTTTTTTTTTAAAGATTTTATTTATTTATTTGAGAGAGAGAGAGCACAAGAGGAGGGAGGGTCAGAGGGAGAAGCAGACTCCCTGCTAAGCAGGGAGCCTGATGTGGGACTCAATCCCGGGACTCCAGGATCATGACCTGAGCCGAAGGCAGTCGCTTAACCAGCTGAGCCACCCAGGCGCCCCTGTTAGAGGTATCTTGTCTCTCCCAGAGTGGAGCCAATTTCAGAGTTGGCCTGCTAGGAGTGAGGATTCAGGCTTCTCTTGTGCCTTTGAGGCCTTCTCGGGAAAACTAACATTTTTCCAGAGCCTTATTATGTGCAGGCCACCATATGTATGTCTTGTCTGTCTTGTTCTTCTCAGCCATGCTGGGATTTGCAGACTGCAGTAGACATGGTAACTATGAATTTCTTAGCAACACTCCTGACCTTTGTCTCTTCAGCTGTGTTGATTATTGGGGGCAGGGTGGGAGCATGGAAACGTGGGAGAGGGAGGAAGGACACAGAGGCATGTTTCCTGCTTCTTATCATATCTCATTTTCTAGGACCTCTTCATTTTGGCTGCCTTTGTGGAAGGTTCTGAGTCCTCTCAAAAAAAAAAAAAGTCTTGGTTTTGGCAACCTGCCTGATTTGTTCTGAGGCTTAACTCTCCAAGTGGTTCCTTGCCCCTCAAAGCTTTTTTTTCAGACATGTCTGCATGTCCTTCCTGAGGCCTGCAGTTGGTACATTGGCCTCATCACCACTTCTCCCCCCTTCCCTCAAGTGTTTGTGTTCTCTTCCAGATTGTTGGCGTTCCTGAGGAGAGTGACCACAGCTGAAAGCCAGCAGCTCGCCACACTGAATCCTGTGCCCAGGATTAACAGCAGACCCTCCCTTTGGTAGTAGTCAGAGGGGAAGAATCCATCTTCTTAGAACATGGCAGGTGACTGTTACCTATGGGGAAGATAAACTTTTCTAAATAAAAATTTTAATTAGAAATTAAATATGTTATAAAAACCCAAACAACACTGAACTGTATTAAAACTTGTTTTGTTTTTAACATGAATCACTATTTGGAATTATTTTATTTTGTATTTTCTTACTTGTTTTATTGTCCATTTCAACCTCACCAGATTATAAGTTCCTCAAAAGTGAGAGCCATGCGTATCTTGTTTTGCTGTGCCTCTAGTCTCTGGAATGATAACCAGGCTATAGTAGTGCTCCATAAACATTTATTGAGTGAATGAGCCCCAGGAGTAACTGTGGTTTAAAATTCAGTACGACTTGGGGCTCCTGGGTGGCTCAGTCTTTAAGCGTCTGCCTTAGGCTCAAGTCATGGTCCCAGGGTCCTGGGATCGAGCCCTGCGGAGCCTGCTTCTCCCTCTCCCACTCCCCCTGCTTGTGTTCCCTCTCTCGCTATGTCTCTGTCAAATAAATAAAAATATCTTAAAAAGAAAAAATTCAGTACGACTCGGGGCACCTGGGTAGCTCAGTTGGTTAAGCATCTGCCTTCGGCTCAGGTCATGATCTCAGGGCCCTGGGATTGAGCCCCGCATCGGGCTCCCTGCTCAGCTGGGAGTCTGCTTCTCCCTCCCCCTCTGCTGCTCCCCCTGCTTGTGTGTGCTTCTCTCTCTCTGTCAAGTAAATAGAATCTTTAAAAAAAATAAAATTCAATACGACTCAGTTTTTACTCTTGTCCCTTCTCAACATATACACACACACAAACACCCATAAGCACACACAAACACACACACCCCATGCTGCAACTTTTTTTTCCTCTCAACAATATGGCATAAAAAGTCTTTCATTTCAGAATATAAAGTCAACCTTATTTTACGCAGTACGGTGTAGACTAGGGCTTCTCTGAACCTCAGCACTGCTGACATCCTGGGCCAGTAATCCGTTGGTGCGGCGTGTCCTGTTTGGTGCAGGATGTCTAGCTGCACTTACGGTATCTGTCTACCAGATGCCAGCAACACCTTCTCCCTAGCTGTGACACCCCAGAGTGTCTCCAGACATTTTGAGCTGTCCCCGTGGGAGGCAACACTGCCCCCACCTGAGAACCACTGATGTAGATGTTTCATTTGTGTCCATTGGTAGATTTCCTGTGTCACCAGTGAGTCTGAGAAGTTAAAAACGTTAACCTTTAACCTAACTCATGGAATCCAACCTTTACATCCAGTTGAGTGCCCAGAACTGTTTGCTTCAAGCTAACATTGGTATCCTCCTTAGGGGCCTAAAATGAAAAATTAAAATCAAGAGTTCAAACATTTTAGTCTTAGACATTATTTTTTTTTTTATTTAAGATTTTATTTATTTATTTGACAGAGAGATAGCAAGAGCAGGAACACAAGCAGGGGGAGTGGGAGAGGGAGAAGCAGGCATCCCTTGGAGCAGGGAGCCCGATATGGGACTCCATCCCAGGACCCTGGGATCATGACCTGAGCGGAAGGCAGACACTTAACGACTGAGCCACCCAGGCGCCCAGTCTTAGACATTATTACTAAGGGCTAATTTAAGCAGATGACCAAAGCCGCCTCCCAGAAGAAATCAGTACGTGATCTCCCAGAGTCTTCGGAACGAGGGAAATGTTGCTTCAGAGGCTGTTGGTATTAATGGCACAGCCAGGACCTGTAAGACCTGACTCAGAATTTCTTTTGTCATCAGCCTTGCCACCCAAAGCGGGGCTCCATCTAGGCCCTGCCTCCCCCCCAGGTTAGGGGTCTGATTTTCCCGATCTTGTTTACTTGTCCCATTTCAGTGGGCCTAGAGGAGAAGGAGCAAAGCTGTATGTCCGTAGCTGATGCCTGCCAAAGTAGGGTTAGCAGGAGAGATTAGTTATGGTAGCTTTCAATTTTGATGTTCGTCAATGGGGCAGAAACCTCTGATAGAGAAAACCCACGATAGCTTGGGCTTTTCAAGAAATTTGTGGTGTGGTTTTTGAGGAATCCTTATTTGCCCCATTTTACATTTGTGCATTAGTAAACTCAGGTAGCAGTGAGCTATGTTATAACTGGAGTCTTAGGAACGTTTGTTACGTTAAAACTGTCACCCATGACAAAGGTTGGTATTTCTTAGCTTGAGCCTATGATGCACCTACGCATTTCATTGTTATCTTAGTCTTCATGGAATTTTGACAAAGAGGAATTGTTCTTCAAGAGACATCATTTGTTTTCTGATACAGGCAAGAAAGTGCTCATTGTCTATGCTCACCAAGAACCCAGGTCTATCAACGGCTCCTTGAAGAAAGTGGCAATGGAGGAGCTCAGCAGACAGGGCTGCACCATCACCGTGTCAGACCTGTACGCCATGGACTTCGAGCCACGGGCCACCAGGAAAGATGTCATCGGTGAGTTGTGGGCTAAACGGTTGGGTTTTTTTTTTTTACTTTTTTTTAAAAAGATTTTATTTATTTACTTGAGAGAGAGACAGAGCATAAGCGGGGCGAAGGGCAGAGGGACAAGCAGACTCCCCACTGAGCAGGGAGCCCAATGACGAGGGGCTCGATCCCAGGACCCTGAGATCATGACCTGAGCTGAAGCCAGACACTTAACCAACTGAGCCACCCAAGTGCTCCTGGTTTTTTAACGTTCTTCTTTCTAGTTTTTTAATGGAAAAAAAGTTTTGAAAAAACTCACCATTGCACATGAGACCCAGTTCTGAAGTCAAAGGAGTCCATCCCTGTCCCCCAGCCACCCGTGTCCCTGCCCGCAAGGTCACCAGGGTGCTCACTTGTCTCTGTGTCCCTCCAGAGACGTCTGTGCAATGGAAAGCAATTATGGGCATATTCTCCATTTTCTCTCCTTTGCTTCAAAATGGTAGCATATTTTACATGTTTTGCGCATTGCATTTGTTTTTTACTGCCCAAAGTATTCATTGTGTGGAGGTGTCATAGTTCAAGTAGCCCCCACTGAAGGGCATTTCAGATCATTCCTGATCTTTTCCTATTACAAACAGCTGCAAGGAAGAATCATGGCCATGCGTCTTTTCCTACATATGCGGGTGAGTCTAGAGGTGGAATTGCTGGTCAGAGGGAAGGTGCAGTTTTGATTTTCATAGATAATATCAAATAGTAAATGGACCAGTTTACACTCGCACCAGCATGTTTACAAGTGCTCATTTCCTCTGCATGATCAATTTTTGATAATTGCCAGTCTGTCAGGTGAGAAATGGTCTCCCAGTATAGTTCTGATTTGCCTTTCTGTCACTGTAAGCACTGTCTTTGTGTTTATGTAAGAAGCATTTTCTCTTTTTTCCAGCTGCATTAAGACATAATTGACAAAAGTTATATATATTTAAGGTATACAACATGATGGGGTTTTTTTAGTTTTTTCCCCTAGTATTTTTTTTTTTATTAGTTTCAGAGGTAGAGTTGAGTGATTCATCAGTTGTATATAACACCCAGTGCTCATCACATCACGTGCCCTCCTTAATGTCCATCACCCAGTTACCCCATCCCCCCCACCCCAATCCCCTCTGGCAACCCTCAGTTTGTTTCCTAAGATTGAGAGTCTCTTATGGTTTGCCTCTCTCTGTTTTTATCTTATTCTATTTTTCCATGCCTTCTCCTATGTTCATCTGTTTTGTTTCTTAAATTCCACATATGAGTGAAATCATATGATAATTGTTTTCTCTGATGGATTTATTTCGCTTAGCATAATCCCCTCCAGTTCCATGCCACCTTCACTGTGATTTAAATTCCCATGTACATTTGATTCTGTTCTATACTTTGTATTCTGTTGGTTTTTTTTTTTCTAACTGTTATGGATTCAGTACCACATGGCTTTAATTATTTTGGCAAGTGATAGAATATCTGATAGTATTAGGTCTCCATGTTTGCCTTATTTTCTATTTTTTCTAGCTAATTTTACTTTACTTTTCTATAAAATCTTTTGAATTAACTTTCCAGATTCAAAAAGTAACCAGATGATATTTTTATTGAGATTCCATTAAATTTACAGATGAACTTTTATTATGCTGATGCTACCCAGGAGAATGGTATGGCTTTTCATTTGCTCATGTCTTCCTTTACAACCCTGCAGCTCTCTTTACAAGTTTTCTTCATGCAGATCTTGCATAATTCTTGTGAATTGGTTTTTGTTTCTCTCCGTGAAGAGGGCGAATCTCTGTCTCTGTGCCTGCGAGTGTATGTGTATCCAGCCACGCCTGATTTTCTTACTGTTTGTAGTAGATTTCAGCTGATTCTCTGGGGCTTTCCTGATAGACAATCAAATCATCTGCAAATAGTGATAATTTCACTTCGGCCTTTCCAGTATTTAATACCTTTAATTTCCTTCTGTTTGTAATTGTGTTTGTTTTTTTTTTATATGCCAAGGCTTTATTTTGTTAATGATAATCCCAAGATTTAATATTTAATTTTGATGGTAACAGCTGACATCCTGTATCTTCTTGTCTTTCTTCCGTTTTAATAAATCAGTCAACAGTTTTCACTTAAGAAACAACAGAGCAGGGGCACCTGGGTGGCTCAGTCAGTTAAGCGGCTGCCTTTGGCTCAGGTCATGATCCCAGGGTCCTGGGATCGAGCCCCACGTCGGGCTCCTTCCTCAGCGGGGAGCCTGTTTCTCCCTCTCACTCTGCCTGCTGCTCTGCCGACTTGTGTTCTCTATCTTTGTCAAATAAATAAATAAAATCTTTAAAAAAAAAAAAAAAAGAAAGAAACAACGGAGCAGGGACTGGGAAAACAGACTCTTACGTTAAGGAGCCACTGGTTTTGAAGTGGATGAGTCTGTTGAAGGACTGTGGATTCAGTTGTCCTTTCAGTTCTCTCCACGCGGCTGGGGGTTTGCCTGCTCCTCTCCAGACCCCGTGTGGTGGGGTGGGGTTCACACCTGCTCCCACCTCTGCTGCTACCAAGACCTCTGTGGTGTTGCACTCGTCACTCAGCCTCTCTAAAGTCTCGCTTTCCTCTTCGGTAGACTTGGACTTATACTTACCAGTTGCTATAAAGATAGAAGAGGTGATGTGTGATGGAGCATAGCACCTGATAGGTAGGAGGTCCTCAATAAATAGGAAGCTATTATTAATGCTGATTAATGCCTTTGATGAATCCTTTTGGTTGACAAGATCCCAATGGAAGGTGTAGATCAAAATAACTTCTCTTTCGTTTTAGTTGCCGTGGGCAGTGCTGTAAGTTCTAGCCCAATCCCCCTCCTCCCACCACCCACTGCTGCTGCCTGACGGAGCCCGTCCCCCCACACGCTTGCTCTTGAATCCCTGCTGCTACAGTGAGCTCGTCCACACCCACTTCAGAGCATTTATGTATTTCCCTGCATATGCCACATGGCTCACTATGTGCAGGAAAAATTCAAGCTCCTTAAGAAGGCTTACAAGACCTGGCCCATCTCTCTACTCACATCACCGGCAGCCCTCCTGGCCTTTCACCCATTGCCCTGGAGGTGCTCCTAGTAGCCCTTTCCTGGGCTGGCCTGGTTGTCGGACACCCTGCCTTCTCTGTGTCTTACGCCCAGAATGTCCTGTCTCTTCTCTCCAAGGCTCCAGGTGGCCTGGTGAACTCCCAATCCATCTTCAAAGCCTGGTTTACAAAGCTCATCACTAACCCAAACAAGCAGAGCTGGGCACTGTTGTACTGAGTTAGACCACAAGCATCTTGATTCTAAGACAGGAGGCTTATCTGGCCGTAACATCAGACTGAGCTACCTAACTATTGTTTTGTATGTTAATCATTTGGTTATTTATCTACTCTTACTGGACTTTGAGTCCCTCTGAAGGTGAGAACAGTAGCTTCCTCTCTTTTTATTCCCATGGCCTGACCCCAGGGCCCAACACCTGGTGGGGTCTCAGTGAATGTCTGGCGACTTGCTTTAGGGAGTCCAGGTAACGGGGATGCTAGTGGGATTGGCCAGGATGGGCTGTGGATGCGCATGTGAAAGCGTGAATATTTGGCCTGTTCTTCTCCAGGTGCTCTCTCTAATCCCGAGTTCTTCAACTATGGGGTGGAAGTATATGAAGCCTTTAAGAAGAGGTCTCTGGCCAGTGACATAACTGACGAACAGAAAAAGGTTCAGGAAGCTGATCTAGTGATATTTCAGGTTTGTTTTGCCTCTAATTATTATAACAAATTAGATTTATTCCATGTACAAGCACTTTCCAAATACTGAGTCGCACACTTCTAGAAATGGTGTTAATGTTGTTAGCACATTTGCACACTTATTTATGTGTAGTTGGGTAAGGAGATCTGTGTAGCCAATATTCATTAAAAATCCTGACTCCCAAGTAAATAGTAAGGAATACCCCATTAGCCCAGCAGTCCAAGAAACATCTGCATCACGTCCGGGGGATTGCCTTCATTCCCTTCTGATCCCCACCCCACACAGGCAGAGGCTGTGTGAAAACCAGATTTGTCCACATGAGTGTTTATCAGGGGAATTTGGGCCAAATGTAACTCCTGCCCTAAATGTCCTAATCAGAGAGGAAAGTCTTCTTTTGATTCCTTCCTGTCACTGGTTGCCTCCCCAGCCCACCTTCTGTGTACTCATTCACAAGTTGCCCCAGGCCAGGACTCCCTGGGTAGAGAACTGGCCCAGGACCCTGCTTCTGTGGGCTCTAGCCCCAACTAGACAGCCATGTGTACCCACAGAGGGAATTGTGAGCCTGGCAGCAAAATAAACATGCTTTTGGGGAGCTGTTGGGTTGACAGAAATCCAAGTGAACTAGAAACAAGGAATTTATTCTCAGGGCCCTGGTCCCTTGGGTCTCCTGGAAGCCAAGGACAGGCTAGTTGGGCTTCAGGGACCATGGGACCAGAGGCTTAGACCCCTCTGCCCTCTCCCTCTGATTCTCCTCTGCTGCTCCTTGCATGCCGGCTCTGTCCTCTTGCTGCACACCGGGCCTGGGGGCTCTAGATTTGGAACCGCCAAGATGGGTCCGACTGGTCCCGAGTGTCTCAGTTTCCAACACAGCGTGAAGGCAAGGAGACGGTGAGAGAACAAGACCCCCACGTGTGGGGGAGGGGTGAGGATGCAACCAGTTTCCAGGTGAAACAACGTGTCCAGAAGGGAAAGTTCACGAACCCTTCACAAAATAACCCTACCCCTTTGGGCGGAGGGAATGCTTCAGCCCTCCTCTTCCGCCCCGCCCAGGCTACCTCTAGACACCCTTCCTGGCACCATCCCTTTCTTTCCCAGGCAACCTGGAGCTGCTGTCTGATCAGAGTGCGAGATGTTCTTCCATCCTAATTCCACGTGGCTGGATCACGGTGCCACAGAGCTCACTTGCTATGTGCTTTGTCATGTCACAGAATAATAGCCACACCAGGACAGTGGGGCCGTATCAAAACTGGCCAGCAGTCTCGGTCCATGGTCCAAGCAGAACCATACTTGGCCCTCTCGATCTTCTCTTCCTGCCCCTTGGGGCAGGTGACCACATGGAGCCCGGCTGTCCATTCTCCTTGCTTCTGCACTTTTGCAGCTGGAGAGCTAAAGCGAGCCAAGGCCAGTTCCTTCTGTAATGGTCTTTCTTTTTCCCTACTCCATCTCACAGCTCTTTTCCCGCTGCCTTCCCTCTTTTCCTGGTACTTTGCTCAGAGGGTCTGCATTATAAGCTTATTGTTTTTCATTCAACACTAATAAGAACTTCATTCCTCACTACTACTTAGTAGTGATCACAGCTCCCCATCACTCACTGAGCATTTACTCTGTTCTAAGCACTGTATTGTCATGGAATTCTCCCTGATGCTGTGACCTAGTAACTTGTACTAGCCCTAATGGCAGATCAGGAAGAGGAGGCACAGAGACGTTAAGTAACTTGCCAGCATCGCACAGCAGTGGGTTGTGGAGCTTAAATTTCAATGCCAAGTCCTGTGTTAGATTTATAGCAAAAGCACATGGAACATGGGCTTCCTTCTGCCTTTGGTAACAGATTATTATCAGTGTTCATCTCCTATCATTGATGATGATTCTGGATATAGTGTTAGGGCTTCTGTGGAGACCAGAGTGGACTTTAGGTAGATCTTACTGCTGGTGTGTAGAATCTGAGGATAAGGCTTTAGTTTGTGTCAGAATCTGGAGCTTCTCAGAACTTAACTCAGTCTGACTTCCAGAAGGCAGCAACTCACCCCTGGGAAAGGGGCAAAATCTTTTCCACACCCTTCCTCTTGTGCCCCTTGATTGGATCAGTCACAGGGACTGCTGCCGCTGAGCCAGTGTCCAGCAGAACTTCCTAGCACCACCTCGCCACCTGCTCAAGGACCAGCCTAAGGGGCTGTCCCTGGGGGACACAGAGCCACCTGTAACAGCAACCAGGACCATGGTCAGCTCTGCCCCCCCACCCCACCATCACCCTGTCCACACTGCATGTCCCTGCTTGCGCCGCTCCCCGGCTATACTCGCCTGCCCAGCACCCGAGAAGAGGAAGACAGTGGGATTCCTTCTGGATCAGCAGATCTGCAACCTGAGGCAGCCCGCAGCATCCGTCTCTCCCTGGTCTTATGTCCCCAGTTCCCGCTGTACTGGTTCGGCATGCCGGCTATCCTGAAGGGCTGGATGGACAGGGTACTGTGTCAGGGCTTTGCCTTTGACATCCCAGGATTCTACGATTCTGGTTTTCTCAAGGTACGTACCCTGGGATAAGGATCCCTGTGTACTGGTGGGGGGCATCTCCTCGAGTCCTATTTGGAGTTTGCTTTTTTATCAGCAAATAGTGATTGAGCCACCAACGGTGTGCAAAGCCCCGTGTGCTGTACTTGGGTAAAAAAAGCAGTTTCTGAGGTCATGGGGCTCTTGTCTGGTGAGGGAGATAGACGCATCCACCACAAACTACACGAGTGGCCAAGAAGGGCATGGAGTTGGTGTTGCGGGAGGGCTGCAGTGGGCCCCACGGTGTCAGCTCCGGCTCGGGAGAGGGTGTCTGCACTGTGATGCAGAATTGAGCCGTGGCTTCACAGCACCTCACCTTGCAGCTTCTCGTTCCTCCTTGAAAAACAGGATAACATGACCCGCGTGTTGCAGGGTGAGCATTGCATGGAACCCGGTGGGTGCGCCGTGCACAGTCACAGTAGCTCTGAGTTTCTTACTAAGTTCATTCCTTACTGAAATAAATAATGTCTTAATTCTGAAAGCCTCAGAAAGTAAGTGCACGTAAGGAAACCATAGAGTCACATGTTCCGTCGTGGATGGTGAAGTAAGGCCACCATTCCGTGAGAATGGTCCTGGGCCAGGGGCCGTGCGCTGCCTCGGTCGCCCTCACAGCAGCCGCGGCCGTCGGCACCTGGGCCTCGCCCGTCCGCACCCGGCACCACCCCCTGCTCTTTACCAGAAGTCGGGGCGCACCAGAGCCCTGTGTTCACTCGGGCCAGGCCCTCCCCTGTCCCTGCCGGCTGTGGCTGCCCCCCTGGAGCCGGGCATGCCAGAGGAGTGTTCTCACATGTCCATCCCTGGAGGGACTGACCTCAGACTCTCCCTCCTGGTTGGTCTAAACCTTGGGGCCGGAATCACAAGGATTTGTTTGCTCCTCCGCAGAATAAATTGGCCCTCCTCTCGTTAACCACGGGGAGCACAGCCGAGATGTACACGAGAACCGGAGTCAGCGGAGATTTCCGATACTTCCTGTGGCCCCTCCAGGTACCCCCTGCACCCCCCACCCCCTCCGCTACCCCTGCAGCTTCCCCGGGTGTCAAATAAGATGTGATGTAAGCCTGAAACCCAGACCATTTTGACTCCACCTGAATACAAGAAGTCAGAATGTTTTGCCCTTTCAAATGCCTTACATAGCACTGAAAAAGTGGGCCAATAGGGAAAACACATATTTATTATAACGATAGCCTTTGAATTTGTTGCGTGGAAGCTAAGCCGAACCTGGTTAGCTGACGTCTGCTCCGTGGTGGCCCTGCGTGTGTGCCGAGCACCGGGGGCCCCGTCCACACCGACTGGCGGCGCTTTGTGAAGGTGGCATCCCAAACCCTGGCAAGAGGTGCCCCAGGGCCGGCAGTCCAGATAGTCTGACACCTCCCACACGTGATGGGTTCTTGGAGCCAGGGGCTGTGCCCCGTCCCCAGAGCCCACACCCCTCCCCGGGTTCCCAGGACTCTGGCTCTGCTCTCTCAGGTAGACACCGTGCTGCCTCTGTGCACCCCTGGGCCGTTTGTGAAGGGCACAGCAGGGGGCAAAGCATATGCAAGCAGGCTGGGGTGCCCCCGGGTGAGGCACCCCTTGCTGAGGGACCGAGCTGGGCGTCGGGGCAAAGGAAGCAGGCTCTGTCTGGGTCAGGCGGCCACAACCTGGCTTCGAGCTTCCAGAAGACTCAGAAACCTAGATGCAAACCATTCTTCCAGGCTGTTATGAAGCGACATTTGTCCAGGGAGGAGATCACATATTTAACAGTTTGTGAGCTTGCTTTAAAGATGTAGACAGTGACCCCTCATAGGGCAAGCCTGGACAGAGGTATGGGTTTTAAGGGAAGAAGTGCAGAGAGGGGAGAGTGATACTTGTAATAAGAGTTGTCTTTGAAAGAATAGTGATTCGATTTAGTGATGTTCTGCAGGAGAAAGTGATAACTTACAGGGCTGAACTTCCCTCGCCACAGGTCAGCTAGTCTCCTAGGGGTCATGAGCCAAGCTTAAATTTTTCTGGTTTTTTAAAAATCTTTATATATTCCTTTCAGTTTTCAGAAGTATATATTATGAAAAAAGAATGTATAAAATATAAAAATAGAAAGTCTTCTTAATCCCCCCTTAAAAGTAATTGCTTTTAATAATTTGATGTATTTCCTTATGGCCCAGACCTATTTTTATATGTATATTTTTTATTATCAGGGTTATTTTTGTTTTTACGTAAATGGTATACCACGAATACTGCTTCAGATTTCTTGTTATTTTTACTGGACTCATCTTGAACAACCATACGTGGATATACATACACTATAGCTGCAATAATGTCACATCATTCTAGAATAATCCATTGTATGAATCTACCATAATTTGCCTAATCAATCAAAACCATAAGGTTTACTGTCTGAGTCAGAAGTGAAGATTACAGATGCATTTCAGTGAGGATCTGAAGTTTCCAGTTGCCCGAAGTTCTTCACCTCACTTGTCAGGGCCCGCATCTTAAGGTTACAGGGCAGTTCAGTTGTCTTCGGTGACCTAGTAGCAGTGAAGTTGTTCTTTTATTTTTTGAAGGCTTATTTCAGGTCATTTCCCCCCTTTAGTTGTTTACCTGAATGACACAGAAAGGATTCGGCTTCTAATCAGCTCTCTGCTCTCTCTGTGGCTGCAGCATGGGGCACTGCACTTTTGTGGATTTAAAATCCTCGCCCCGCAGATCAGTTTTGCTCCTGAGATTGCGTCAGAAGAGGAGAGGAAGGCCATGGTGGCGTCCTGGGCCCAGCGGCTGAAAACCATCTGGGAGGAAGAGCCCATCGACTGCACGCCTCCTTGGTACTTCGGGCAGTGACGCCTCGCGCCTCATCCACGGCACGGGCACTGCCTGCACCTGTGAAGAGATGATCCCGTAATAAAAGGAAATTACAACAGAGTGAGCTGGAGATAGTTAATGTCCGGTAGGACCGGGTGTCCTACGGCCGATCCAGCATTTCAGCCATCCGCTGGTTACCCTGAATTCTGTTCCCACGAGGGCATTATTCATCCGGGCTTGCTTTTCTCTTCTGATGTCTTTCCATCTCCCTATGTTCAACCTTTGTGGGTATCTTGTTCTCAAACAGTCCTCCTGGCGTGGCATAGTTTTTTCCTTTTGTTTTATTTCATAACTCAACTTGGGAATTCCTGTTTTTTCGTAGGAAGGTTGAATATTTGATAGCCACTGTTGTAGTGCTGTGTTTGGACTTTTTTCTTCCATCTCTCTCTCTTTTTTTTTTTTTTTTTTTGTACGTGCATGCATGATGGCTTTGAAGTTAACCCATTTGTAAAGTCACTGCATGGGGGTTACCGTGAAAGTCTCCCAGCGCCACTCTGATGCGTTCACGTGACACTACTAATAATTACCCTGAGTGAAGGTGCCTGTAGCAGGAGGGGGTCTCCCTGAAATCAGGTTTAAGAGATTAAATCTCCTCCTCCTCCTCCCCATCACTTCCGAGGATGGAGCCACTGCCTGTGCACAGGGGCCGTCCTTCCTTAACGTCCCCAGTGCCACCCATAGTCCCCTTGTCGGACTGGCCGCACAGCTTGTCCCCGGACTCTGCTCATCACACTCCTTCGAGCTGGCACCCTCATCCTTGAGCAGCCTGTCCCCTGCTCCGCCGCCGCCTCCCTCTTCCTCAGCATCTCCAAACCCTTTTCCATCTGCCTCTTCTTTCTCCTGTTTTCTACCTGCTGCATCATCACACACTTCCCTGTGTGCATCTCCTTCCTCCTCATCTGAATCCCCACGGCCTTCCCCACCAGACACTCCCTCAGAGCCGCCATCCCCAGATGCTCAGCTTTCAGGACCGTTCCTTCCTCTTTTTTCTCAACACCGTTTTCCTCTAGTTATTTTTTTGGAGCCCTCTTCAAAGTCCTTTTCAGAGCAATCCTCCGATTCTCTTTTCAAGACGTCTTCCTTTTCAGATTTTCAGGGTCACCTTCAGACTTTTTTCAAAGCCATTTTCTTCGGAGTCTTTTTTGAGGTATTTCGAGACTGTTCTCATCACTTTTGGAACTGCCTTCTTCAGATTCTTTTGGGACCATGTTCTTTAGCATTTTTTTCAGAAGCATCTTCAAAATCTCCCCATCTTCTCATTTTTTGAATATCTTTCCACGTCTAGATTCTTTACATGCCATGTTAGTTGTGGCTTCTAGAGCATTCATCCTAGATGTGCTCGAGTGCTCTGGAAATGCCTTACTTTAGAAAGCCTCGCCTTTTGGAGCAAAGATGGAAGTTGAACACAGAACACCTCCATTGGCCTCGGGACACTGAAGAAAGACTTCCCTTCTCTCAGCCGTTCCTCCCTCACTCTTGGGGTCTTCTCAGCCTGGCTATCTGTAGTCCCATCCCATGTTTTGACAGGGAATCGATGGCCACCAAACACCTTCCATCGAAGGTTTGAGTACACAGATAGTTTCCTCAAGACATCTGGGTGTCTCTCCAAGAGAAGGAGCTTCGTGACTGGCCCAAGCTTTGAACAGTCTCCAAGGTTTTCTCTGACCTTGATCAGCACCAGCTCAAAATCCATGGGATGAAACATTTTGGTGATGAGCACTCCCCCTTGGGGCATTCCACAAGCATTCCAACAGTCCAACTGCTTTTATTACAGAGCCAGCCCCTACCTGTGGTCCTCGCACCTCTTCCTTGCTGATGCCCCCTCTTCCCCTCCCGTTGAAACTGAGCTCCCTCACTATGCGATTTCTAGCTTCTAATTTGATCTTCATCCAAAAGCATTATTGCACATTCCAGAGTCCCTCTTCAAATAACTGCAAAGCCCATCTGCTTTAAGATTCCCTTGGTTTATCTTTGTAAAACTTGACCATAAATTCTGTCCGGGGAATTCATAATCATGCCAAGTTAGAAGCTGTATAAAGGCCTCCACTGTGATGTCGGTAGGCAAACCGGTTGCCTTTACGTTTGTAGTTCTGTCTTCAACGTGAAGCCTTTCTTTTTTCTCCTCTTTTCAAGATCAGTGGGTTTGAGGCTCTTTTCCGCAGAGGTTTCTTAGCATTGCTGGCACCTCTCGGATGTTGGCCACGGACCAGATGTGCCGGCGCTGAGAAGCTGTACGTGGCCCGATGCGCGGTGATCTCACACCAGCTGCCTTGCCCGGGTGCCAGCCAGCCGCTGCCCAGAAGATTGGCTTTCTCCGCTGGGATTCTTGCTGTCTCTGTACAGTTCATTCACAGTTGCTCATTTGCAGATTCCTCAGCCAAGTACACTTGACCTGTGAACGACATGGGCTTGAACTGCAGTCCACTTACACGTGGATTTTTTTTTCCATAAGTACATTGGAAAAATTTGGGGGGAGTTCCAACAATTTGCAAAAACTTCCAGGTGAATCCTGTAGCCTAGAAACGCTGAAAATTTTAAGAAAAATATATTATTGTAAGAATATAGTAAATGCATATAGAAAATATGTGTTAGTGGACTTTGTATGTTATCACTAAGGCTTCCAGTCAACAGTAGGCCGTTAGTAGTTAAACTTTGTGGGGTCAGGAGTTGCACACAGACTTTCTCAGGGTGTGGCTGGTACCCCCAGCCTTGCATTATTCAGCTATACTTGCTGCCTGAGTTTCCCACCTAGCCCAGAGCAGGCTCCAGGTGAGCAAGAAGGGGCTGGCTCGCTCCGCCCTGCCTCAGCGCTGCCAGTCAAGGTTCAAGGTCTGGTATCTTTTTTGTTATTTTCGCTGTGCCCGGCTTTCTTTTTTGGCACTATTTCCCCATCAGACTCTGCCTCTGGAATCTCTCAAAGTTGCTGATCCTTGGAGAATTCTACTTGACTGTCTTCTTGGCACCTCCGATTCAACGTGTCGTCACCGAGTTCGTCCCCCTACCCAAACCCCCCTCACCACCCCTTATCTCAATAAGTGGCAGGAACATTCCTCCGATGTCGGGCCCCAAACCTGGGCCTCACCTGGACTACCCCCAATCAAGCTTCATGTCTTGCTGACTCCACCTTCTACCTGCGTTTCATTTGCCCATTATTTCCATCCACAGTTCTACCATGCTCATCCAGGATACCACCTTTTCTCGCCTGGATTATTGCAACAACCACCTAGCTAATTTTCCCTTATGCATGTCTGTCCCTTACAACCCATTTTCTACAGAATGCTTAGAGCACTCAAAATTTTAAGTGTGTGCGCGTGCGCACACGCACACACACACACACAGCTTATGCCATTCTTGAGGCCTGTTCATCCTTCAGGGGCTTCTCAGGGCTCTTAGGAAATGTCCAGAGTCCTTGAGCTGGTGTGTAAGGTACAGCATGTGACCCTCTCTCCTATACAGGCTTTCTGGCTACTCTGTCTACATCCCAGCCATACTGGACTTCTCACTCCCAGTCTTGGTGCAGGGGCTGCTCCCTCTGGCAGCAGTGCTCTGCCCATCTCATCGCCCAAGCCACCTCCCATGTCACTTAAGGAAGCCCTCCACAACCCCTTGGATGGAGCTGGATGTCCTGTCCTATGCCCTGTACTTCTGCCTTAAAAAAAATTCTCAGTGTGCGGCACCTAGATGGTTCAGTCGGTGAAGCGTCTTGACTCTTGATTTCAGCTCCGGTCATGATCTCAGGGTGGTGGGATCGTGCCCCACACTGGGCTCCATGCTGAGCGTGGAGCCTGCTTAAGATTCTCTCCCTCTCCCTTTCCCTCTGCCCTCCCCCCTCATGTGCATGCATGTGCTTGCTCGCTCTCTCAAAAAAAATCTCTGTGGTATTGTGTTTACTTGAGAAACACAGGAGGACATTTTCATACACATTTCAAACACTGGAGGCATCTGATTAATGTTTGTCTCCGTCACTAGACTGTTGGCTCCATGAAAGCAGTCTTAGACAAGACTGTGTCAGTGTGAGGAGCCCCTACCCCAGGAGAAATGAGGTCTGCACCCTGCCCAGGGCCCCAGGTTGGATCACAGGCTGCAGTCTGGCTCTCAGCAAGACCAGCTTCCCAGTGGTGAGTGTGCATCCCTGTGCACACCAGGTAGAAGGAATGCATGGATACCTGACTGGACCTCATCGCTCACTCCCTGGTTTCTCTTCTGCTCCTGTGCTTGCTGAAACTGGCCCCTGGCTCTTGATTGGGGTTGTCGTCTGGGGACGACCAGCAGCGCCAGGAGAAATGCCCTGGAGGCCGTCATCTTTGTTTTCACTGATGCCTCTGGGATGCATTCGGGCATCATGAACTTGGCTCCTCCTCCCTCATGCCCAGCGGGCTGCCGCTGCCGCAAGCATGCCACGTAGACAGGGAGCAGCGCCAGCCTTTAGAGCCTCATCCTGCAGTCTGCGTGGGGTTGCTGGACCCCAGGATTCCTCAAGGCAGGAAGCAGATGCCACACTGCAGGTCGCTGAAGACCAACTCTAAATGTCAGAGGGTGGATCTCTAACCAACCAGGGGATGCTGCCTCTTCCCACAAGGGGGTTAGAGGACCAGAAGTTCAAGGGGAAGACTCCTCGCTGTCTTCCCAGGTTCCCGAAACCCGACTTCCCTGGGAAAACTTGGCCTCCCGTATGCCAAGGATGTTAGTTCTGCCTTCCAACCAAAACTGTTAGCACTTCAAGGGCCAGGACCTTATTATATAGCTCATTAGCTCCCATAGCACTGAGTTCCCTCAGACATTGCTGAGTTTTGAAACCTCATTGCTGAAAGACTTAAAGACACACTCAGCATCAGCAGGGCAGTGGGAATTGCCGATGAAAGAAAAAACAGGAAATGACCGCAGTCACATCTAAGGCAAGACAACGTTTTTCTTAGGAGCGTGGGGCCTGATTTGGATTCGGGAAGTTCTCTTTGGTTGTGCAGAGGTAGGTCCCACACCTAGTTTGGGTGGAGGAAAGAAACTTAACGTTGCTCGATGTAAGAAAAGTGTCAGGGTATTCGGAGTAGTTCTGGCAGCTGGAGAGCATGGGAGAGGGCACTAGGCACAGTCTCAAGAAGGGCACCTGAAGCCCCGGAAAAGGCAGCAAGATGGGGATGGAGGAGAGAGACGGCGCATGCGCGAGCAGGTGGGTAGTGGGAAGACGGAGGAGCCTCGGTGGGGCAGCGCAGCCAGTCCCAGGCTGCTCTCCGATCATCCCCATCCCATGTGTGCTCCCGTTAGTCTGTTTGCCCTGAAAGGAAAGTGCAGGACTAGAGGGCTTGAGATCGCTAGGATCGTAGCGGCACAAGGGCACGCTGTTGGCTCTGCGCTGCCCAGAGCGCCCTGGCAGCAAATAACAGGAGCTAGAAGCACAGCGGAGCTTTGACCAGAAAATTCCACCTACAGGAATGTAGTCTAAGGAAGTACACTGAGAGTGAACTTAATTATCTAAATTAAAAGTTTGCTTTTTTAGCAATGCTCTTTATAGTAATGAGTAATAGTCGCTAACATGTATGGATACTTAATATATGCCAGGGGCTGATATAAATGCTTTACATGTATTATTAGCACCTCTAATCCTCGTAACAGGCCTATGAGCAAGTACCGTTGCTGTCTCCACCTCACATCTGAGGAAACCGAGGCAAAGTTAGATGACGACACTTGCCCGAGGGTCACAGCTATAGAGAAGCAGATGTGGGATTTGAACCCAGAGCATCTGGTTCCTCTTTGGAAGCAACCTAAGTGCCAGGGTAATGATGAAGAACGCCATGGTCATCCACAGAGTTACTAGGATGGCCGGGGTCACAGTCACCTTTGCCTGTCCCATATTTGTTTCTGTTTCTTCTGGTGGCAACACCCTGATTTTCCTTTGGTAATCATGCCCTTTCACCAAGCCATGTGGTCTTGATAGGGGTGACATCTCAGTACCCAGGAGTGGCACCTGACCGACCTGATCGATCAGTGTTCCGTGCCCGAGACAAGCCAAGCCAGGCAATGAGATTGCACTCAGGAATTCACTGATCTGGGAAAGAGGACACTTGTTTTGCTTCTGGACTTGGACCTGTGACCATGTAAATCGGCCAAAGGCCATGACATAGAGAGCATTGGCCTGCAGGTGGAGCCAACACTGAGGGAATCTCATCTCTGCTGTATACAGAGACAGCTTCCTAAGGACAGCCTTTGAACACCTGGAACCATCTTTGCCTGAAGCTGAAGTTTCTTCAGTTCTTCAGTCATGCAAATACATCGCCCTTTTTCTTACATGGTTTTATAATAATTGCAATTAGTACAATCCTAAAGAATCCAACAAGCACGGTTAGTATCTCCATGAAAATATGAAATACTCCAGGGAAAAGAAAACACAAATTCATTTTGGAATCTGATTACAATGACATAAGAACATACCTAAAGGCATATAAGATTAGAATAAAGTTTATACTAATATATCACATTCTTTTCCTCACCAAATGGGTTAAGTATATAGTTCCTGATGAACAAAGAAGATGGAGAATCTGCCCTTGTGGAGACCTAAGGGAGGCAGCAGAGGGCAGGACCAAGTCCTGAGTTCAGGCCCAGTTCTGCCAGTAACTGACAGAGTAGCCTTGAACAAGCTGATCAAACTATTTGGGCCTTAGTTTCCCCATCTATGAAAAAAGGGGAGTCTGGCTTCCAAAGTTACCCCACCTGCTGTGCAAGATTCCAGTAGACCCTTAGTCCTGTCAAATTGTAATATTTTTTCCTGAGGTTCCAGAAACGGTCTGAAATACTGTCTGGGATCCCCAGTGGTCCTGGGGCTGATCCAGACTCAGACTGATATGTCTGATTTCTATTTGTCTCTCACTGTTTCTTTCCATAAAGTGGGATGGATGCTTTGAAATGTAAATCCACTCAGTTGTTTGTTTCATTAAAATGTATTAAGGACAAAGCTTATCAGGAATCTGATCCTGTGTCACTTGAATTCCTGTAGCACTGATGGAAGGACTGTATTTTGTCTGATTTCTCCCAGCATGAGCTGGCGGTATGGAAGATTTTATTATTATGTCCTTTTTACAGATGCGCAAACTGAGACTTACAAAGTTGAAGTAACTTGACTAGGGTCCCACCACTGCAAGGGAAAAGCTGAGACTCAAACCAAAGCAGCCTTTTTCAGACTTTGTGCTCAGAACCATTCAGGTTGGGGAACTCCACCCAGGGGGTCGGAGTTGGGGGGAAAGCAGCACTGAACAGAGGCCATTTTAAAAAATGACCCTCAAAGACCCTAGAGAGGAGTTCATAGTGGGAAAAGAAGTCTAAGCTGAGGCCTTCTGCTCAATAAAAACCTAATGTTTTTTGGGTCAGGGATTCTTTTGCCAAGTGTCTGGTTGAGGTTGAAAACCCGACCTAGACTTTCATTTCCTGCTCTGTGGCAGATAAGATTTCTTTTTTTTTTTTTAAGATTTTATTTATATGACAGAGAGAGACAGCAAGAACAGGAACACAAGCAGGGGGAGTGGGAGAGGGAGAA